CGTTTTTGGGCGCACGAATCAACCGATATGAATAGTTCAAAAAAACATTCGATTCCTACTGACGGGAGGACGTGCTGATCAATTTTTGGCAAAGACAAGTCCATTTCGCTGCAGATAATAGAAATCGAGTTTTTGAGAGCGCGGAGCATCCGATTTGAATGATTCAGAAACATTCAATTCGTAATTATGGGGAGAAGTGTTGATAGTTTTTTGACAAAGACAGGTCCCGCCGTTTCGGAGAAACATAGTAAAATAAGCAAAAAAATGCGGTTTTTGAAAAGCATCCGAAAGAATGACTTGCACAAACTGCCATTTTTTGTACATTTAGCTATGTATCTCCAAAACGGCTCAACTTGCTTTGCCAAAAACCAATCACCACTTCTCACGATCATTATAAATTGAAAGGATTTTGGATCATTCAAATCGGATACTCCGTTCTCACAAAAACTGATTTTTTTTTATTATATCCTGATTAGTTTTAGCAAAAAAGGTCGAGCCGTTTCGAGGATATAAAAAAGCAGATTGCAGAAAATAAAAATTGAGTTTTTGAGAGAATGGAGTATCCGATTTGAATGACCCAAAAAACATTCAATTCGTAATGATCGGGTAAAGATTTGGTCCAGCCGTTTCGGAGATTCAGAGCCAAATACGCAAAAAATGCAGTTTTTGAGAAAACTAAGCATCCGATTTGAATGATTCAAATTCAAATGATTCTGCTTGTGTTAACAAAACAATTGCTTTTGAGGCTTTTTTTCATTTTTTCTCAAAATTTAATTAATTTTTCCAAAATTTTGTTTTGTTCATCGTAAATAATTGGGTTTTTAATTTTAATTCTGGCTTAGAACTTTCTAAATCTCACTTATATACTTTAAATAAATAATTTAAACCTTGCAATTCAGTTTATATAATTCTTATAAATAATCTTGCAGTGTTTATATTAATCTAATTTATTTGAAAACATTTAATATTCCTCGAACATTTTGTTACGGTACGGGAAGTTCCATCAATTTGCCTTAAGGCACGATGCCATACAAACTACTAGTTCTATTTTTGGAGCATATATATTATATATATATATATATATATATATATTGTTGTACACCCCTGATATTACAAGTTGCTAACCACTGTCATAATATTAGATTCCTAACAAGTCCAGACTGAAATCTTAGAACCCCTGAGCTTTAGCTGATATTAACGGTTCATATTAACTTTTCTCAGACTATTGCGTAGTAGCTGACATTACACATTCTCTCACGAAATCATAAATCTATACGTCGACAAATCTCAGCAAGATCATATTATCGACATTCCGCCTAGTTAACAATTCTCACCAAGTTCGCATGAATAACATTTTGTTTATCAGCTAAATTCATTACTTGTCCCTTTTCGTTGCATAGAATATTCGAGACAAATCCCCACTACGTTTCAAAGGATTTTAGTTTTAAATAATTACGAAATAAATCAGTCTTAATCTGTCGGTCGCCGGGCAACACTTCTCTTCCAATACTTCCGAGTTCCTTGTACTAAAGTGAAATAAAGTGAAGTTTTTGAAATAGTATTTTCATTATCAATCTCAAGTATTTTCAGCAAGTAAGTTTCAGGAACTCCGGAAGGTCCAGAGCAACAACACCGATTTGCATATAGCGGCGCCAACAGCTCTTTCTGTTCATCAACGCGGTGCCCAACATATATATATATATATATATACATACATACATACATACATACTAGCAAACCCGACGAACTCCGTTTCGCCACCAGATGGTTTCGTGAGAAATATGAAGAAATTTTTGAAGTAAAACTTCTTTAGGCGCGATATGGGTGTAAAAATTTCTTTAGGCTACACGGGTGTAAATCCGTACAAATGCAACGAAAACGCCAACATGAAGTTGAACACTACGACGCCGTAAGCGCTGATGTCGCGAGTATCCACTCCCGTCATGTCATGCGTAAGTCGAGCGCTAAACCCTGTATGAACTTGCATTAATTGAATCACGTTTTTTATGTTATGTCCTCATGTAATAAGACTTTCCTTAGAGAATAAATGTGTCATGGAATATAATAAATTTATACTGAATCTCGTTGAAGACAAAATAATATCTACTGCCACGGATATTTATGTAGGTTGCCATGCGACAGATCAACAATCATACATTCGTCAGCAGGTTCACAAAAATCGGTTATTGATACCGGGGGTTTGCCGTATGAAATAATCTTAGTTCTGAATAAATTTACATAATAACAACTAATATTGATGTAAGTGATGGCTTAGCTAATGGCTGTGTAGGAAAATTAGTGTACATAGAACGTGGCGATAATGATGAACTTCTACGTTTATGGTTTGAATTTCCTGGTAAGATAGTAACAAAATAAGAAGAAAGCTGCACATCATATTCAAACTCTTAATATCAGTAGGACAGCAGTGCCGATTCTCAGGAGATCTTCATCTATTCCAATGAATAGAATAAAATCATATTTGTCAAAAGAAATCATTTTCCTTTAGTGTCTGCTTGTGCACTCACAATACACAAATCACAAGGTGGTACTTTTGATAAAATTGTATATGAATACAATAAAACCATAATCAGCAGCTTCTATATGTGAATTATCACGAGTTACCGCATTAATGGATTGTTCATCATTTCAAAAAATTTTATCATGGAAGAAAACGGCCAGCAGGATTAATGAACTTAAAAACTGAATTCCAAAGACTTTCAATTGTAGATTAATAACACAAGAAGAAAAATTGAGTGAGATAATAAGTTTGAACGACATTTCATTGTTTCCTTTAACTGCCAAAGTTTACGAGCTCATTTGCCTGATCTGCAAATAAAGTGCTACAACGTTGTACGTTTTGTTATTTTCGGAAACTTGGATTAATAATGAAGAACGAATTATATTCAGAACTATTACTGCGTTACTCAATACAAACGATCGGACTCAAGAGCAGGTGGTGTAGCTGTCTATCATTCATGTTCAGATACTCTTCATAATGCGACTCCTATGCAGTTCTTGCGCCAACGATATTACTGGATATTCCTAACGAAATTACACAAGTAGGTGATATTACACACACAGAATCAAACATTAATTATAGTCGTCCTTTACATTTCTCCAATAAAAACATATCAAATATTATTAATTTCTTCATCAGCAGTTACTTCATTTTTCTTATGAGGGTGCAAAACTTTTAAACACTAATCACAACGAGATACCATTAATTCTTGCTGGAGATTTAAATGTCAATTTTCGTTCAGAAGAATCTCAACCATTAATTGATTTTTTAAATAATAAATTTAATTTAACAATGAATAATTCTTCATTTGAATCAACCACAAGATATGGCACGACTATTGATGCAGTTTTCTCCAGAAATGTACATAGTTTACAAAGCAAAATTTATGTCTCTCATTTTAGTTATCACAAACCTATTATATCATATATGAAATATGATAGCAATTAATCTATCGACGTTGTTTTAAACTGTGTTATTGATGTTATGTGATTATTAATAAATGATTTTTAAAATTCAAATATGATGTTTTTTTATTTTTATCTTAATTGCCTACTCATACAATATTAAAAGTTTTACTTCAATCGCGTGTGATTCTTACGCGCACTCTTTTTTGTTTGTTTTATATTTGAAAAGAAAAAATTTGATTTTATTATACAACAGTAATGAATTTATTTCGATTACAAAAATGAAGTGTTTTTCAGTTGAACTTTTCTAAGTAAATGAAAGTGAATCCGCAAAAAATCCGTTTCATTGAAGTGCTCTTTGGTAAACCACATTCACCACATTTTTTTGTTTTTTGATCTGACGTTGAAGGTGCGTCCACACCTAACGAACGAACATAAATGAACGCACCAGAACGAACGGCAACAGCATAGTGTGGATTCTGTGTATGACTCATTCTACATGTATATGCACACTAGCTTCAAAGTGAGTTTAATTTATATCTCCTGGTAAAAGTAATCTATTTTAAATTTAATTTTAAACAAATAGCGTATGCACAAGTACTGCTATATTTATCAATTTGTCTAACTCAGTCTATATTGATGAAAATCCTGACTATGAAAAACAATTAAAAACTTTGTCTTTTTTACTCATGAATTTACCTTTGTCAGTTAATACAGCACCTCCGGATTTTACTTTTTTTTTAATATGCCCGAGAGTACATTAATTTGGGTAGGAGGGATTCTGCCTAAGCCCACATTATTAACAAATGAAATAAAGCCATCTGGAGTGCAATAAATAAAAACCTACTTTCAAATACCCTGGAAACTACCAACGAATGAATCTGAAAAGTAAAACCTAAAGCAATATGACCAATTTCTAACTTTCATGATTTGTGTTTTATAAGAATCAAACTCACAAATAGATTTTTAATAATACTTTTATGCATGTAAATATGATCATTTAAGCAAATATTGATTTAATTTACTAAAGCCTCTTCAAACTTTGAACTTTCTTCATATTTTTCTGATTGAATATCCTTCCTGACTGTAAAAAGTATGCATATTGGTAGTAACAAACAAAATTTATATTTTGAATTTCATTATTCTTACCTCTGTTATTGTAAAATCATAAAAAATAAATGATGAGAATATGTAAGAAATATGAATTACAGCAAATGTCTAACCTAAAAATGCACGTTTTACATCAAAACAAATATTAGTTGACAGCAAATTCAACTCATAAACGTGTCATCCGCCATCCGCCATATTTGTTGGGCACCAATTTGCACTTAAAATCCGCTAGAGGAGAGCTTGCCTGTTCCCTATATGGTTCTCTATGTTTCTACTCTCTCTACTGCTACAAACAAACTCTATGTGCTCTCTATGCTTCAAATGTCAAATAATAAATGTAAATTAATGTTGAGATCATTTATCATATTGAAAATAATTATTGCTTAAACTACACTATTATTTAGCACACAACTATTTTCGTTATTTTTTTCTGAGTATAAGCAGTGAAAATATAAAAATGTCGGAGGAAACAATTATGTCTATGATTGATCAGGCAATTAAAATTGAACCACCACAATATTCACCAGAAGACATTAAACTCGAAATGGAGGATGATTTTGACAATCCCGATGTTATTGTTAAATCTGAATCGTGTTCTGAAGATAATGATACGTGTTTAGAAAGATTTATGAATTCCGAGGTAACAATCGAAGAAGAAGTCAAACAGGAGTTAGTCGAGACATTAACTTATGAATGTGACGTTTGCAATAGATCATTTGCAGAATCAGATCATTTAAAAGAGCATATGGCCCATCATTTTTCCAATAATAGCAAAGAAAGTCATTTCAAATGTGAAATCTGTTACAAAACTTTTGATCGATTAAGTGTTAATATATGCAAGAAGACATTCACGCAAACAGGTAGTCTGAAAAGACACATGCTCATTCACACTGGAGTACAACACGCCCATGAATGCAATATATGCAAGAAGACATTCACACAAACAGGTAGTCTGAAAAGACACATGCTCATTCACACTGGAGTACATGCCCATGAATGCAATATATGCAAAAAAACATTTACAGAAAGAAGTAATCTGAAAAAACACATACTGAGACACAGTGGAGTACGTCCTCATGAATGCGATATATGCAATAAGACATTCACAGAATTAGGTAATCTGAAAAGTCACAAGCTGATACACAGTGGAGTAAAACTGCATGAATGCAATATATGCAAAAAAACATTCACGCAATCAAGTAGTTTAAAAAATCACATGGTAGTGCATAGTGGAGTACGTCCCCATGAATGCAGAATATGCAATAAGGCATTCGCACTATTAGGTAATCTGAAAAGTCACATGCTGATACATAGTGGAGTACGTTCCTATGAATGCAATGTATGCAACAAGACATACACGCAATCAAAAGGTTTGAAAAGTCACATGCTGATGCACAAAGAAGTACGCTCTCATGAATGCAATACATGCAATAAGAAATTCAAACTATTAAGTCATTTGAAAAGGCACAAGCTGATTCATCAACGAGAGCATCCTGATAAATGTGAAGTATGTAAGAAGAAATTTACTCAATCAAAGGATTTGAAGAGACACATGGCACTTCATAGTTTTAAGAGTGGTGGAGATCAATGAAATATATACTTACATTTAAATATTGTTAATTTTTCTTGCATGTAATGGAATGTATAAATAGTATGAAATATCACAACAAAATAAAAATTAAACCGGCATGAAGTGGTTCATTCCGGAAAACGTCAAAACAATCAAAAAAGCAAAAGAAATCAAAGCGATATGATATGATCCAGTTGTCACTTTGTGATTTGGTCAAGTAAGTTTGTAAAGTGGAAGAATTATATTGTGAGAAAAGTGACTTCAATTATTTGAAATCACAATCCATACTTATAATCATTTTAATTTGCTTAATATATATTATCAGAAATGCCATTCTATATTTTCTTTAGTAACAATTATGTTTTTTTTCTCAATTTATATTATGTAAATGTAATTGTTTAAATGATTTTGAATATAATATTGTAATTTTTTTTGTATTTACCAGAGTCGAAGATGTTACATAAAGAGAAAGATATTTTTATATCTTTCAGAAGTTTAAATACAAATATTTATTAGTGTAGAAATGCCTTTTATTTTTAATTTATTCAAAACTCATTATAATCTTTTTTTAACTTCCCGTAGGAGAAGTTCATGCTTACATAAAAAAATCTGATTTGCTAATTTTATGTTTACTCGACGTTTCAAGCCATTCTGAATCGAATGAGACGAAATTTGGAAAAAGTATATGTGTGTGTGTGAACAGATTTTTTGCCGCAAAACAGCTGCATTGATTTCAAAATTTTGAAAACCATTTGATGTATCTCGATGAGGACTATCGTTTGTCAGTTTGTGCGATGATCTGCCAAGCCCTTTCTTTGTAATCGATTTAAAAAAATTAAATGCTGTTCGAAAGATATTGGTTTGGAATGATACTGATTAGTTTTAAGTGAAAATCTACCGAGTCGTTTTCTTGTAATTAACTGTTGAAAAAAAATTTAATCCGATTTTTATGAAACTTTTTTGGCGATATATATCATGGTTTTATAGAACTTACTGATATATTACGGCCTTACGACAAGTAGTTTAATTTTAAAAATTCATCAAAGTTTGAGAAAAAAAGTATTTTTTTCTGCATTCGTTAAATTTAAAATTAGACGATTTTCTTGGTATAACGATAGAGTTGTTGAACTTAATGAACCTACTAGACCACTAAACTCGTAAGGAAACTGGTTCAGTTATAAGCATTGTTGATTTTTGAAAATTTGCTTTTAGAAAATACTCCGAGTTAACGTGTTCGTTCGTTTTCAAAGATGTGTAATAAATCCACTCGGAATACTTTTAATGACTCATAAATTAATTTATTTTTTATTGATTAAGTCGATTATTTACACATATCAGAAAGTTCATGTAACTTGCCTCAAGGCAAAATACCAATACCAACTAGTTTATTTATTAATTTCTTGTAGGATAATTTATAGTATAGTAATCGCAAAAAATCGTATCTCTTTACGTTTCAATACCTTCTGAACATTTTGGAATACCTTAGAAAAAATGAATGTAAGTGAGTGTGTATGTTCAGATACGATTGTTCGTCCACGATTTCGGGCGTACGGATGAATTAAAAAAACATATGATTCGTATTGCCTGGGAGACGTACTGTTTTGTTAAGGTGGGCCACACCTAAGGATTGAACGTGAATAAGCAAGAATTGCGTACCAGAACGAACACCAACGAGCATAGTGTGGCGCCACAACGAACACAAACAAACATGGCGAGCAATGTTACGCAACTTGTCGGTACATCAAAGAAAATTGTTTGTTCATGTTTGTGCAGTGTGAACTCTTCAGCTGCGCCACACCTAACGAACGAACATAAAAGAACGTACCAGAACGAACGGCTTACTTGTTTATCTATGGGCAACAGCATAGTGTGGACGCCACAATGATCACGACCGAACATAAACAAACATGGCGAGCAATGTTCCGCAACTTGTCGGTACATCAAAGGGAATTGTTCGTTTGTGCAGTGTGGACGCTACCACGAATGTTGACAAATATTTTTCTTTTTTGATGTTAAAATGTGCATTAATGCATTAATTTATGTTGTGTTTTTTATAAGATATTGCTGTTATTAAGAAATTTTGTAAATTGGATGACTTTAAATAATTTTGCTCTTTCCCGCCACTTTAAATAATAAATCTGATGTTTCACGGTACATCCTCGAACAAAAAGATTCAAGGCCTCACTGCTTTGAGGCGTTTGTTTGGAATTATTCGCGTTCGTTCGTGTTCCTGTTCGTTCTTCTTTGTATTTTCTTGTTCGACATGTTCGTTCGTGTTCGTTCGTTAGGTGTGGACGCACCTTAACACAAACGAAGCGGATGGTTTTCCAACTCGTGAACAGGCAACGTATAGAATAAACTGCCCATGTGATAGATAATGATTTTCTAAATAATCTGTTTGAAATTTATCCCGCAAACACTAAGCGATTGGCCTTGCGGCTTGTAATGGCAAACGCAAGGCGAACTGCAAATTGCAATCGTTTGAAGTCAAACGGAAGACCAGTCGGAATCATTGATATGTCACCAAAGCTCCAGCAACTTTTGATTGAATGGTGAAATTCAGTGCGTGTACATCATTATTCTTTGCGGCAAGAATTGCTCGTTGACTTGATCAAGCATAATTCTGATAATTCTCACTAATGTCATTACTCGAATTTTTAATTACGGTGCGTGAAGTTCCAGCAGCTTGCATTAAAGCACGATGCAATGCACAACTAATTTTCTTAGCTATAAACCTTGCGGAGCCCGAGACCTTTCCAACGAATGCAAAATTGTCGAAATCGATACGTTGGGTTCTGGAGTTATTTCGTCAGGAAGGAAAACTCTACTTATTTTTATATATATAGAAGATATATTTATATATATATTATATATATATATATATATTATATATATATATATATGTATATTGTATTATATATATATATATATATATATATATATATGTTAAAGAAGTTAGTTTTGATGTTGAGAAATATGAGTAAGTTCTTCAAGGGCATACATCAAATAAAGGGCAAAGATTTAGAAGTTAATCTTTAACATCAATAAGACCATATTTATATCCACTGATGATGGCATAAAATCCTATGTCGAAACGTTTGGAAAAAATTAAAGATTAACTTCTAAATCTTTGCCTTTTATTTGATGTATGCACTTGAAGTACTCATATATATATATATATATATATATATATATATATATATATATATATATACAGTAGGCCCTCGCTTTACACGGCACTCTGGGTACACGGTTCCCATACTACACGGAGCTAAAAATCCGACATCCCTCCGACTACACGGACTTCTTATTACGCGGTATTTGGTCAACAGCCCATAAGTTCGTTGTGCAAAAGGGTATTGATGTAAATTTTGTTATCGACTTTTATCTTTTAGACATGCCTGATTGTATAATAGCCGCCTAAGAACACGTTTGAGCTGACTACTGCGTCGCGCCAATTTTTGAATAAGGTGTCAATGTTCTACATGTCTTTTCGTCCGTATTTCTCCTACTTCAAGTTGTATTTCTTGGTCTCCATACAACGCGATGAAAATGGTGCGATTTGTACCAACTCTGAGTCTCTCATAGCACGGTTCCCATACTGCACTATGTAAGGTTCCATAGAACGCACTACGAATTAGCCTGAATTGTATGTTAAATACGAGTTTCTTATAGCACGGTTCCTATACTGCACGGTACGCACTTGCCGCGTAAAGCGAGGGTTTACTGTATATATATATATAGACAACGTCCTGCATTTTAAATTCGATTGATTAAGTTATGGTTATTTACTTTTCTTTCATGATCTTTTATATTTTGTCTGTAAAATAAGATTAATAGTAATATTACTAGAAATTTAACTAGTGGTGTATGGCATCTATTCAAATTAATAAAGTTTGCTTCCATAATAAATGATTTCTGGCGATACTAGCGCCCCTATCGTGGCAGTCATACAAACCAAACTGCATATGAAATCAATCGTACCAACATTTGGTTGAACAATTTTATGCCATCGGGCAACTCAACATAACGGAATTGCATTGTGGCAAGCCTAAATTCGAGTTTCCCTACCTCTCTCTGTGCTGAAGATGGACTCGTTCATTTACTTCGCCGACGTCATACCGTCATAGTGGCACGCATAGTGTTAACCTTTTAAGAATCAGTAATTTCCTTATTTTCTTTGAACAAAAGTTAAAAATACATCATGATATAAATATAAATTTGTTAATTCTCTATGGTGATGTAAATTTAGTGTTTCATAAAGTACCGGGCACCAGAATAGTAAATTGAAGACTGGACTCCATGGCGTGGTTTGTAATATGTTATACTAATTATATAATGCTGTTTAATAAGCATCTGTTGCAATTAATATTACGTTTGATTATGATTTATGCAAGTGATTAAATTGAATTCGATTGCTATTTCTATTAAAAAAAAATAATTAGCATTTATTATATATGCTAAAATAACTAAAAACGCGTCTTATGCGGGATAACGCATAGTCGACTTAAGGGGGTTATGTAGTACTTAATAATTTTTGCTGTACTAAAATTATCTATAACATACTTTTACTTATATAAACTATATTATCATTACAAAATGGATGCTTGTTAAAGAGTATTGTATTTATAGTATAATATATTATAAATCTATAAATCTATATATATATATATATATATATATATATATATATATATATATATATATATGGTAGAGTTTTTTTGAACATCTATCCATTAATTAAAACAATTTTACTGAAAAAATGTCTTTATTGTCAAACGTTTCCGGTCCTGATTTGACCCATCTTCAGTGCCTACAAATAGTCTAAAAAAAAAACTACAGATAAAACACACAAATTTGATACACCAATTTATATTACAACAATTTTTCTAATAAATATGAAATTAATAAAAATAAAATAAATGGAGTGATTTACAAAGCTCTTCTTGTCGAGGCATGTTTTCCATATTAAATTAATAAAAATAAAATAAATGAAGGGATTTACTAAGCTCTTCTCATCGAGACATGTTTTCCATTTGGAAAAATTTAAGGTTAAGTTCTTGTTAACTTGTTTATTTTTATTAATTGAATATTTATCAGAAAAATTGTTGTAATATTAATTGGTGCATTATATTTTGTTTTTTTTGACAATAGACATTTTTCTTCACTAAAATTGTTTTAATTATTGGATGGATGCTCAAAAACAACTATCATAATATTTCACCGTCTAAGATAACCTCTGGCTTTAATTTATATATATATATATATATATATATATATATAATGTCTGGGGTCTGTGATCAATGAAGGAGATCTATTAATAAATTTACTAATACACCTAAGTCTGTTTTTACACGGAGATTGGTTCCAGAAGAATCCGTGTAAAAAAAAACGTGTAAAAAAAGACATTGATCTTATACAAAAATGGGTGATTTGTTCCTAATCTCTAAAACCTATTAAAATTGGTGAAAAACAAGAATTTTTAAGAACAAGAATTAAATTAGTGCTATTCACATTTGCTTTGACCAGTAAAAATTGTTTGTACGCGCTAAAGGGGAATTCACTTAAATCTTTAAGCTAGTATTCGCAAACTATCGATACTATCGATGGTTTCAGACTTTTTTCTTTCATAAATACTTTTTTGTGATATGAACATACTTCGCAAAAATTTAATTTGACAAAAAAAATTTAGGTACACAAAATTTCAAATCGTGCTAAATGGAATAAATTCGTGTAAAAAAATTAAAAATATTAAATTTTCAAACCGTGTTATATCAAAACCGTGTACAAAAAGATCGTGTAAAAACAGACTTAGGTGTATATAATTTTATGCATTTACGGTCTACCAATGTCTGCGACGGAATGTATACAAAATAACAATTATGAAGATCTTAATAAGCATGAGCTTTTTTCAGGGGTTGGACAAGACTCCATGAAAACAATCTTCAACTTCGAATAAGCTGTATTAGTACAGTAAGATGTGATTTGACACAAGAATTGAATTTGTGCTTAATTCATTCGGAAAACAATTCTCTTTCAGAGACAATATTTTATTGTATTTATATATTTTCAACAGCAATCAGGACACATTAATGGTATGTTTTTATAGATGATTACCCAAATGGTTGTGTCCTATCTCTGGACATAAAACCTAGAACCTCTGATTAGAAGTTCATAGCTCTAACTACTAGGCCATGGAAAAGATTTTGGAAAATCAAACATGTCATATAATCAAACATATTTTTCAAAGACTTTTACAGATCCAGTTACACAGGCACCTCAGAATTTATACCAATGCAAAGATTCGCAAGAAAAATGAAACATATGACCATATTTTTCAAAGACTTTTTCAGATCCAGTTACACAGAAGCCTCAGACTTCATACTAAAATTTTTCAAGGATGTCACATATGCAGTAAAACATTCGTACAATTGTTTGTTTGCTTGTTTATACTTTACAAAATTCATTTTTACAGATGATTACTGAAATGATTGTCCTGTCTCTAGAAATCAAATATAGAACTTATGAATTAGACTCTAACCGCTTGTCCATGTGGAATCCCTCGGAACAAATTTTGGAATGGTAAAATAAAGCACATGCACCTATTGTCCACATTTTTTCAGATCCATAACACCATTTTTATAGATTATTACTGAAATTGTTGTCCCACCTCTAGGAATCAAATGTAGAACCTACTATTTAATATTCGTAGTGTAACCACTGCCCATTGCGAAGACAAAATTTATTCACATCAGAAAATGAAACCTATGTCCATCTTGATCAAAGATTTTTTCAGGTCCACTTGCACTTCATACCAAAATTTTACAAGAAAGTTGCATATGCAATTAAAATATTTATATATTTAAGTAGTTACATGCTTGTTTATTTTTTCCAAAATCTAACTTTTGAATCACATAATTATTCATAATGAAGAGCGCCCTCATAAACGTGAATGTTTATTCCACGATTCACATTTATGAGGACGTTCTCTAGTATGAATAAAATCTGTGTGATTTGATACAGCTTGTTTTTATGAATGTTCAATTGCAATTACAGAAAAGGTACAATTTGAGATTCTCATAGAGATCACGTTGCTAAAAAATCACGTGGGGGAAGGACGAGTTCTAGTAAGATATCACATGTATTTATTTTTTACAGAAATACTATCATTTTCAAAAAAAATACTATTTTTTTCGTAATAAAAATGTGCATGGTGAAGTTTGGGATGGGAAGTAATTTTGGATGTCACCAGGGGGTCCAAACTATTCATCCTTAAAAAATCGATCTATTCATACTTGTTTCTATTGTGTAAATACTGAACCAACCATTTAGTTGTGAAAATTCATTTAATTTTGGTAATATTAATACTTTTACTTACCAAAGGAGATGTTTGTTTTTGCCGGAAAACCAGATTTTTCTAATTTTGTTTTCAAGATGTTATTCTGAATCTTTTGACATTGAGATTGGATGAAACATTTGTGTGTGTATCTATTTGATATAGAAGCTGCCAGATATTAGACCTATCAATTTAAATAAATCGCATACGTTATTGATTTGTAAAAAAAATTAAATATTAATAGTGGTGCGCCAATTACAGGAACTTCCTTTACCAAAAATTTATATTTTTAAAAAAATTTCGATTTTCTTACAACTCTGAATCGATTATTGAGATTTTTAAAATTTTTGAAAATAATCGACCTTATTGAAAAAAATGATTTTTTTATACTTTGAAATATATAGGAAATTGTGAACTTTTTTCAAAGCAATCGCGATACTTTAGCTGCGTAGAAACGAAATATCGAAGCGCGTGGGCGCCGCGTCGCAGTATAACGGATAAACATTGGTACGGAGACCATAGAAATATAAATAAAATTTATACTTATAAGAATCTTTATAAAATCTGATAATTGTATGTGAATATGTCTAATGATCATTTTTGTCCGCCAAATGGCATTTTTTTCACTTTTTATTGGATATCCGAAAACCGCTAAACCTGCCTTTCCAAGTTTCATCAGTTCGTCAATTTCAATCAATTCTTCATCTTGTCAATACAAGTAAAATGTTTTTTGAATTATTAAAATCGGACGCTCCGTTCTCCTAAAAACTGAGTTACCGTTTTTGCCCGGTATTTTCGAAACTGCTCGACCTGCCATAGCCAAAAACTAATAAGCACGTCTCTTTATCAATAGAAATAGAATGTTTTTCGAATTATTCAAATTGGTTGATTCGTGTTCTCGAAATCGTGGACGAAAATTTGTACTCGCACACACACACACATACATCCATTTTTTCTAAGGTATGCCAAAATGTTCAGAAACGGTTGAAACGTAAAGATATATAGAAACTTTCATTTTCGATTTTTTGCTATTACTATGGGAAGTTAATAAACAAAACTACCCTATGGGAAGTTAATAAACAAAACTTAATCGAGTGGAGTTAGTATTAAAGGACCTTATCTCATATGTTCCTGAGAACTATATAAACATAATTACTAATTTAAAATTATTACATGAAGAAGTACATGACATGGATTGAAGTATTCATAGTATAATATGAAATACTTTGAAATGTTTTGTATTAAAATATATTTTAGATATTTTAAGACCATAATTATTTCTATTATATATTTATGTATAAATACAACAAATTATAATAAAAATAAAATCAAGATGTGAGTCAATATTAAATGTTTATATTCGGTTCAATGTAAATTATTAATATAAAATTCATTTAAACAATTTGATAGATAGAATGCATAAAATGCACTTGTATCACAACCTTCTGAATATGAACTTATCTTTTACGTTTTTATCGAAACCACTTATTATGATATGCTGCACTTAATTAGTGAACATAAATGTGGTTGATTTCTAATGTATACTATTTGTATATTATGTATATTTACCATGTATAGATTATTCTGTATGACCTCTAATACCAGACACTTCCGACTGACTGAGATATTCAAAATGCATATTAGTATAAATAAGAAGAATTAAAAAGTGATTACCCAAATGTCTATTCAAATGAATTTTGAGAATGAGTCATTTTGTGTTGCACTAATGATCGTTTTGTAGTGAACACTTCATTGCATATTTCACATTTATGAGCATGTTCTCCGGTGTGTTTAGTTAAATGCACTTTCACCTGGTATGCTCGAGTATACTTCTTATTGCATATTTTGCATACATATTCATGTCCTCCGGTATGTGTTGTTTTATGCCTGTTTAATGTTTGTTTCTCTTTAAATGTTTTATTACATGTTTTACATTCGTAAGGTCGATGTTCACTGTGCACCACTAAATGCCTTTTTAAAGTACTTGCATCTGTAAATCTTTTCTTGCATATTTTACATTTGTGATGGCGTTCTCCAGTGTGAATCTTTAAATGCTGGTTTAAGCTTTGATTAGTTGCAAATGTTTTATTGCATAATTTACAATTAATTGGGCGTTTCTTGTGCACTAATGAATGCTGTTTTAAAGTAACTTGCTGTATAAAACTTTTATTGCATATTTCACATTTATAAGGATGTGTGGTATGAATCATTTTATGGCGTTGTAAGTTTTGTTTTGTTGTGTATGATTTCTTGCATATTTTACATTTATGTGTTTTCAAGTTATGTTTACTTTTACTTAAAACTCTTTCGTTGCATTTAAATGTATTATCATCTAAATTACTTAACATACTGTTTTCTTCTTTACATATGTTTGCATTGGATAGAGCATCTTGCTTCTTAATGGTTTGTTCTTTTATTTCTTCCTGGATTGTGATCTCAGATTTCACAAATACTTCATCATCTTCTGGATAAATATTATAACAATCATCAATTTCTTGTTTCACTTGAACACAATCATCAATTTCTAGTTTTACTTGTGGATATTCCATCGGCTCAATTTTAATCGTCGCTTCTTCAGACATTTTCTTGTGTTTGTTGGTACTTGTAATGTCTTCTTCAAAATTGAGAAGGCGTTCAATCAAATTTATATCTATTACATATGTAATAAATAAGTTTTAACATATATTTATAATAGCTTTGGTCAGTTTCAATTGTTACCTTATATTATTATTGTCTAGGCCTTATTCAATATGCATATATCACATTCTAATATTGTCTAGGATTTCAGCAAACAATTTGACATTTCGATTTAAATCACATTAGCCACGATATCAGAGGTTGGACAACATTAAATCATTGTTCTTGATAGACGAAGAGTATTGGGGATACTCGAAGACGTCCGAAGACTCGCGAAGAAATCGTTTATCGCGCAAAATTCATTCTTTCTGAAGCAGCATCGGCGATACGAAATCAAACTAGTGGTGTATTGCAATCGCGCCTTAAGGCAAATTGCTGGATCTTCCCGTACCGTAATTAAAATCTTGGTGCTGAACCCAATAAAATGTACCCCAAAAGTGTACGCATTACTAAAATTTCTATAAAATGTCTGATAATTTGATGTACATATATCCAATAAACATTTTCGACCCCAAATGACATTTTTTAACTTATTTTCAATAAGAGTTCATAACCGCTAGACCTGCCTTCCCCAAAATTCGATCAGTTCTTCATCTTGTCAATTCAAGTAAAATGTTTTTTGAATTACTAAAATCGCACGCTTTTAAAAACTTAAAAACTCGCCGTTCTCTTAAAAACTGAGTTACCGTTTTTGGCACTTTTTGCCCCGTATCTTCGAAACGGCCAGACCTATCTATGCCAAGAACTAATCAGCACGTGTTCTTATTAATAGGAATCGAATGTTTTTTGAATAATTGAAATCGGTTGAACCGTCTTCCCGAAATCGTCGACGAAAATTTGTATCCGCACACACATATGTGTGTATACATCCATTTTTTCTAAAGTATGTTAAAATGTTCAGAAACCTCTGAAGCGTAAAGATATATAAAAATTTTCATTTTCGATTTTCGGCCCATTACTATAACTACCCTACAGGAAGTTAAAAAAGACTTAACTTAAAAATATTTGAATTACAAAATTTATTTCGTCTGAAAAGAAATTTATAAAATACCTTTTTTTTGATAAAATCGTTTTAGTGAAAAAGTGTTAATGTATAATCAATCATACAGGTAATTAATTCTGTTTTTCCATAACCTTTTCTTAAAACTTTCTAAAACTAATTTTTCAACATTTCTAATATTTTGTTATATAATCCATTTTTATCATTTTCATTTTGATTATACGTGTATAGCCATATTTCTGTACATTGTTTTTTCTACAATTTTATTCATTTTATATAAAAAAAAAAAACACTATCTTCTGCTTTTCCTAACTATATTGTTTGCTTAAATCATATCAAGATCATGTTTCTTGTCAGATGTCCTGAAGATGGAACGTACCTAGTTCCGAAACGTCGACAGTAAATAAAAAAGAAATGGTTTTTTTAAAAAACTTTTGTTTTTTATTACATTTGGATTCTTTGTTCAAAGCTCTATAAAATATTTACAAATGACTCTACAATCTAATATACTTATATTTATATATATGGTTAAAGTTTTTCAGCCACAAGTCAAAAAAAGAATGAAAGAAATTAAATATAAAATCTTTATTAATTGTACGTTTCGAGCTATTATATTAGCTTATTATCATCAAAGTCAAAATAAATAATTTTAATTTATATATATATATATATATATATATATATATATAATTAGGGTGGTCCTTAATATGGACTTTTTCGAATTTCCTTGCTCTTGAGGGCTCAAATGGTTCCAAATTGATAAAAAATAATTCTCTGAAAGTTTTAGCTCTTAATATTGTCGTTTAGATAGAGTGCAATTTAATCAGTTTTGTATGGAAATAGCATGAAAAAAAGTGAAAATTTGTGTCATTTTTTATTGAACATTCGACGGTCTGCAAAAATTTTGAAAATTTTTTCATGCTATTTCCATACAAACTTTGATCATATTAAGGACCACCATAATATATATATGTCCATTCAAAGAAATTTTTGATTGAATCTCGTTTCATGTATTCTTTCATGGGTTTTTTGATTCTTTTTATGAGTTTTCTAAGGCTTTCATGATCACTGTTCACGTCAATGTTTTATCGAACATTTTAAAACATGCTCTGGTACTACAAATTCTTCATCGCATATCACACATTCACGAGAGCTAATTCAGGAGAAACTATTACACAATGAACTATGACGTTTCAATTCTTGTTTAGTTGTGTATCCTTTATTACATATGGCACACTTATGTGGGCGCTCTGAGTGTGCACCGCTAAATGTGTTCTCAAATGACTTAACTGTCTACATGTTTTATTGCATATTCCACATTCGTAAGGGCGTTCTCCTGTGTGAATCATTTTATGTCGATTTAAATTTGCTTTGTTGTGAATGTATTATTGCAAATTTGACATTCATATGGGCGTTCTCCTCTGTGCGCTGATAAATGCTTTTTAATATACCTAATTTTGTGAATCTTTTATTGCATAGTTGACATTCGTAAGGGCGTTCTCCTGTGTGAACGATTTTATGACGACTTAATGTTTGTTTTGTTGTAAATGTTTTGGTGCATATCTCACATTTATAGGGTTTCAAGTTTTGGATTATTTCGTGTTGACTTCTACTTAAAATGCTTTCAAAAGATTTGCTGTTTTCTTCGTTATATATGTTAGTGTGCAGTTGAAGCAGCATCTTGATCCTCAATCGTTTCTTCCTCGATTTTTATCTCAGACTTTAAAAATATTTGCTCGTTTTCCGGACAAATATTATCGCAATCATCAAATTCTTGTTTCACTTGTGGACAATCATCAAATTCTTGTTTGACTTGAGGATAATCGATTAGTTCAATTTTAATTGTTTGTTTCTTCAGACATTTTCAGGTGTTTTTTGCACATTTAAATAAACATAAATAAAAATAGATAAATAAACACAACTTCCATGAATCAATTTGACATTTCTGTTTCGCTATCTTCTCGCAAATTAAGATCAGGTGGGACAACATTCAAGCATTTCAAATTCGACGCGGGTAACACAAACGCGCCAATGTGAA